GTGATGCTATTTATCCGAGCAGGTTATTAGTCTTACAACCATATTCGAGCCAACGAGGCAAGAAGACTCACTAGCTGTATATCCACCCCATATCTAAGTTCTTTGATAAGGTATAAAGTGATTTGGGTAGTTCAAGTTATATGTCAAACTTGAAGCATGTGCATGTATATGCCTTCGTATACTTACAAAACCAAAAATGGGGGCTTAAGCTAATTGGGATATAAAAGTAATATTTTCTTGGACATCAAGGTTACATGATAAACAATACTTCCTTTGGATATATATATATATATATATTGTTTTGGGTCTAATTACAGCCATTTTTTCTGTACATGTTAATATACTTTCTCTCGTATGAAAGCAAAAGATTCACCAAATTAACCAGACTTGTATCCGACTTTATGCAATCGGAGTGATATATATACATATACAATCCCTCGAAAGCACAAAGTCGGTTACAAGTCTGGTTAATTTGGTGAGCCTTTTGCCTTCATGTGAGAGAGAAAAACGGTACTAAAATGTACAGAAAACGGGCTGCAATTAGAACCAACACAGGAAATACTAGCACTATTGTGGCAAATTCTTTTGCTGCTAAAACGATGAATGATTTGACTATCTCTTCAAATTTTATCTCCTAGAGATTGACATGAAAAAAGACTTAACCATGTCAGTGAAATTTTCGTTGGGCTTCGTGTACAAGTGCATGATGAGGAGATTACTTGGTTGATCACTGTCCAGAAGACGATGGCCGAGTCCTGATGCCCTGGCATCATTCAGTTTTGACGCAGTCCACAAGACATCCTCCCTTTTTTCGAGTGAACAATGGCAATCGGCTGTCTTACGGTGACACCTAACACCGAATCTCTTCATCACACATTCGAAATAAAGTCTCCACAAAGATGTGCTGTCAAGATATTAAACGAAACGCAGCTACTCTTCGGATCTATAACACTTATTCGAGATTGCTTTTTCGCCTTGTGACTTTGTGAATGCCGGCTGTACGTGTGGCCTACACGTATCGCCGATTTCCGAACTGACAAATCGGCCAATTCCGTTTTCGCCATGACACTGGTTGGCTGAAGGCGTTGCCCGGCCAGTCGGCAAAGTTCAGACTCGACGCCGACTGGTTTGACGTGCAAAAGGAGGACGAATGGAAAGCCAGAGGTGTCTGGCTCGGTATCTGTCCTCAGTCGGACAAACTTTCTATGCCTAGTCGCAACAACACACTGACACAGACACATACACACACTCACAAACTGTCACAGAACTGCATTTCACTCCATCACTCTCTCTCAACCTACTGTGGTCGTTACGCCAAATGTAAAGAGTCTTGGCGAATTCCTTTTTCTGGTCGACTACCAATCTAGAGTAAGCACAATTAAACACTAAACCCATTTGCTATTGTAGATAGGACTCTCTTTGGCTAACATTGATTTGTGTAGATTTTTATTTTGCATAAAAGTCTTTGTAGGTCGATCTCG